GTGACTGTGCCTGTTTTAGGTTGTTCCTCTCTTGAGGAATCTTACCCGTCTCTGGCTAACCAGTCATCTTCTGGGGCCATACAGGGAAATGTAAAGTTGGTAAGTGAGAGAGAAGCCATATTGTTTGAAAAGGTTAGCTTTTTACTTCTTTGCAGATTTATGCCCTGTGGCTTCTATGCCCAGCATTTGTCTTGAGGTATCTTTACCACTTGGAAGAATTATGATACTTGGTAATTTCAATATGAGGCACAAATTCTACTTAAGGGTTGTAATTAGGAAGGAAGAAGAAAAGCTATAGAAGTAGCAGACGGAAGAAAACATGGGAAGATTGATTATTTCTTTGACATATCTTCTTGTAGAGTAACATAAGCATGCATAGGTTTTAAACTACTAATTAAATTGTGTACACACATTAACATAATAGGAATACAGCTACATAACCAAAGCAGACCTATAATTACCAGCAATCTCCAGTGAAACCAAGAAAACCAGTTAGGCACCCTAGGCATTTGTGAAAACTTATCAATGATATGATGGATATTGTCTAACTGAATTTGAATAGTTTGAGAAAAATCAGACAAATTAAAACAACACATTCCTGGGAACTGTTCACATCCCATATGTTCTTTTAACAGTAGATAGTCTATAGTTGCAAGATTTTGGTGTTTGTGACTTTTATTTTGAATTTTTTCTTAGAAAGACTGGTGATTTCAGTCTCACCAGGCTCTCTCTGGTATTTGAGTAATTTTGGACTGAAGGAGATTCTTCTGCCTTTTCATGGTGATGGAAGTGATCATCAGTGATTGGCGGGTGTCTTTCCTAGGAGAACAACGTCCCTACCTGCTTGCTGGTCACCTTGCCTGTCTCCGCTGCCTATACCAGTCAACTGCACACAGGGAGCATCCTCTGGGTTAATCCAGAGTTGCAGTTGGCTTGGCGCTCATCAGGATGGCCTAGAGCACTGTCAGGTTCACAGGTGATCATTTTGTGTTTTCCATGAGAATGGCACCCCTTCGTGCTTTCGGATTCCACACCAGTCTCCTCTGCCTGTGCCAGGCCAACTGCATACAGGGAGCAGCCACTGAGTTGATCCCCTGATCTGTCATGGATGGGTAGCCCTATGGATGCCCTAGGGCATTGGTGGTGGTTGCAGGTGATCAGAACGTGTTCACTGTCAGAACAGAGAGACCTTACGTGGTTTGCAGACACTGCACTGGTTTCTTCTGCCTGTGCCAGTCAGCTGTGCACAGATTGCAGACTCTGGGTTGGTCCTGTGAGCTGCCAAGGGCAGGGTGTCCCTCTGGATGGCCTAGGGCACTGGTGGTGGTTGCAAGCGATCAGCGCTTGCTCGCCATTAGAACAGAGGTCCTACATGTTTTTCAGACTCCATGCCAGCTTTCTCTGCCTGTGCCACTTGGCCCTACACTGGGGGCAGACTCTGGGTTAATCCCCTGAGCTGCCATGGGCGGGGTGGCCCTCAGGATGGCATAGGGCAGCAGCAGGGTTTGCAAGCAAGCAGCACATTTGCCGTGAGATTAAAGCCCCTTTGTGCCTTCCAGACTCTGTACCACTCCCCTCTGTGTTGTTCGACTGTGGGCTGCCTCTGTGTGGTTGCTGTGGGTGGGGCTGCTCCCCAGTTGCTCCGCAGCAAAGGCAGTTCAGCTGGTTCACTTGCAGTGCTGGCAGGGGTAATGAACAGCAGGCTTCTTATCACCGTGTCAGGCTTCCATGCTGCGTTACTGTTGCCACCAAGGTGGTTAGGGTGCCTGAAGTTCCTTAAAGTTCCCAGCCTGCTTTGCTGAGTGCCAGGATGATTTTGTCCACCAGTTAAACCCTTGTCCCTTTAAGGCTTTTACAGTGCCCACTTTTCTGTTTTCCCAGGCAGCCAGCTGTGGGAACCTGTTCACAGTCTTAGTCTAGGATTTTGCTTTTCCATTCCTCTAATATCCAGTAGACCATGCAATGTGTGTCTGTGCTTCCGGTGCAGATTACTAGGGCTGGTTATTTAGCAGTCCTCTGCTTCCACTCGCTCCCCACTCTGATTCTTTTCCTCCTGCAAGTCAACAGGGGTAGGAGACCTGCTCAGTTCCCACCTGGTCACGGCTTTGTATCTTACCCTTTTTCATTAGATGTTGAGTTCTCACAAATGTAGATGTAGTCTGGGTGGTGTACTGTACCTTCTGGTCACTCTTTTAGGAATAGTTGTATTCACTGTATTTTCAAAGTATACATGGTTTTGGGAGGATATTTCCACACCCCTACTCATGCTGCCATCTTAAGAATCTCAATACATTATTATAACTATAGATACCATAAGGTATATGAAGTCTCTCTAATTTATTCATTTAATAACTGAAAGTTTGTATCATTTGATCAACATATCCCTAATCCCCCCAACCCCCAAACCCTGATAACCACCATTCTACTTCTGCTTTTATGTGTCTACCTTTTTTCGTTACACATATAACTGGGATCATGCAGTATCTGTCTTTCTGTGTCTGGTTTATTTCACTTAGCATAAAGTCCTCCAGGTAATCCATCTTGTCACAAATGATAGGTTTTCCTGCAGATCCCATTTTAACAATACTAACTCTTCCAGTCTATGAACATGGTATATCATTCCAATTATTTGTGTCTTCTACCATACTGCTTTCTATACTGACTGTATTATTTTTACATCCTACCAACTATTCGTTTTTAAACAATATTTGTGCTCAGTATAAAATTTTAGGTTGATATATTCTTTCTTTCATTATTTTAATGATGTTTCTCCATTGTGTTCTTGCTTGCATTGCTCCCAACAAGAATATGTTCTTAATTTTTTCCTCTGTATGAAAGGTGCCATTTTTCTTTAGCTACTTCTAAGATATTCTTAGAAATCGTTTTGAAGCAATTTTATTATTATTTGTCTTTCTTGTGTTTAGAGTTTGCTGACTTTCTTGGATTTGTGGGTTTAGAATTTTCTTTAAGTTTAAGTTTTCAACCATTATTTCTTCACATATTTATTCTCTCCCTCCTCACAGAATTCCAATTAAGCTACATGATGTTTTTCCGTAGCTTCCAGATGCTGGTTTTTTGTTGTTGTTGTTTGGTTCATTTTGGATGGATTCTATTGTATGCCTTCAAGTTCACTAACCTTTCTTCTGCAATATATAATATAATGTTAATACTATATAATATGTTTTTCATCCTAGACTTAGTTTTCATCTCTAGAAGTTTGATTTAGGACTTTTATATCTTCCATGATTCCACTTACCTTTTTTGATACATGAATAGTTATAAGACATTCTTAATGTTCTCTGGTAATGCTAACTTCTGTGTAAGTTTCAACAGATTCCTTATTCTCTTTGTTATAGGCTGTGTTTTCCTGCTTCTCTGTATGCTTAGTAATTTATTACAGAATTCCAGACATTGTAAACTTTATCATGTTAGCTGCTGGATAGTTTTGTATTCTAATAAATATTCTTGATTTTTACTCTAGGAAACAAATCCCTGAGAAGCAATCTGATCCTTTCAAGTCAGACTTTTATGATTTTTAGGTAGGTCTGGAGCAGTGCTCAGTGTAGGACTAATTATTGTCCACTACTGATAAAAGACCCTTCTGAGTTCTATACTCAACACCACGTGAATTAAACATTTGCCAATCTGGCTGGAATGAACAGGCTCTATTACCAGACCTATGTCAGTGCCAGTCACAGTCTCTTCTAATGTATTTAGATAGTTATTTTCTGGCTGCATGTATTTTTGTCCCATGATTTTCTGATCAGAATTCTGCTAAACACTTGTGGAGGACTCTAATTAATAGGGGTTTTTTTCTGTGCTGTGCTCTCCTCTCTGGTACTCTAGCCTATGAACTCAACCTGCCTTGTTCTCCTCAGATTCTCACCTCTACCTCCTCAAAACAGGAAGCCTGCTAGGATCCACTTCAGTTTCTCTTTTACACTAAAGTCTGAAAACTCAAGGCAGCAAGCTGCAAAATTGCAGTGCTCACCTTTTTTATTTCCTGTCTTCCAGAGATCACTCTCTGTTTTCTGAATCCAATGTCTTTAAAACCATTTTTTCATGTATGTTGTCTTGGTTATTTTTCTTTGGAGGGATGGCATGAGGGGGTTCAGGCAAAGATATAACCAATCCAATATAAGACCAATATAACCAATTGGTCTCTGTTACATCTTGGTTGGAAATGGAAATTCCCAACATTTTTTTCACAGTATATCACATTATTTTTATACAGACAAATAAATGCACATAAAGATTAGAAGGAAATAAACCAAAAATTTTAAGAGTGATTAGATTATGAATGACTATTGTTTACTTTAAAAATCCTTATCTATAGTTTCAAATTTTTGTATAATAAACTTATAATAAATTTTGTAAAGAGAAAAAATTACACTTTGGTTGCACCACAACTTTTTAAAGGCTTTTTAAAAAACAATCTGTTTCACAGCAAAACTGAGAGGAATATACAAAAATTTGCAATATACTCTCTACCCAAATGCATGCATAGCCTCCCCCATTATCAGCATCCTCCACCAGAGTGACACATTTGTTACAACTGATGAACTTACTGTGACACATCACATACACCCAAAGTTCACAGTTTATATTAGGGTTCACTCTTAATGTGTACATTCTATGGGTTTCAACAAAAGTATAATGACATGTATCATCACAGTATCATTCAAAGTATTTTCACTGACCTAAAAATTCTCTGTACTCCATACATGTTAAAATAAATTACTTTCCTATTCCTTAATATCAGCAATACCATTTCCCGACACTGTAAACTACCAATGGAGATTAATTACATCTTAGTCTTTTTAAATGAAGCCTTGTCCAATGCCCATTAACTTTCTACATTATGAATATTTAATACATGGTACCTAAACAGATAAATTATTTAAATATTTGATGTTTTATGGTTTTTTTTGATGAACACACTGTTTTATTTGTTGGGATGGAGAAAGAATATAAAGAATGAAAATAGATTATTCCCAAACCTCAAAACTTCTGGCAGCTTTTCCCCACAGAATGCTGTGTAAATAGTGTACTAATTCTGTTGTCAGTTGTCTTCCTGTTTGGTGACCTGAAAATAAACACCCAAGCTCTAAAAGCAAGAATCAATATCTATTATATTAAATAAATAGTGCTAACTATATTCAGAACCTATAGTCTTTAAGTAATGGCTACAAACATAATCACATTCAGACAGGATTTTATTATCAATTTTAGGCTTAGCAGCAAAACTGATTATATAATATAATCAGACTTGATAGAATAACAGTAATTTGCTCATCAATCTGTGATAATCTTCCAGCCTACTCTCTTCTTAACATACTTTTCATGTTCCAAATCTGGTCATTATCTGGTGACTTAATGTTATTGTGAATGAACAGACAGTGATGCCAGAAATAATTAATAAGTGTTTGCACTATTATGCATTAACTAGATAAGATTAAGTTCACCAGAAAGGCCAATTATACTTTAAAGCCTTTGTAAAATACTTTAAGATCATGTTTACACATAACTTTATTACTTTCAATTATAACTTGGGTCTTATTGTTTCTAGTCTAGACATTTACAGGGTTAAGATACATTAGCATACATTAAAGTAAAGTTTAGTTTAACCTGTAATAGAATTCTACACCCACTTCTCTTCTACAACTCTGGCACTATCAATTTCCAAAAAGGTCTTCATTAGAACACTGAGTCTCTGACCTGCCAGCACAGTTGGCAGATGTACTTTGTTCTGCAACGTCATTAAAAATGCTCACATAAGAGTAAAAGCTACTTAATGTACCTTTTAAAAATGTTATAATACGTTGAGACTATAAGTGTATAACTAGATATTATAATAGATTTTGGATAACTATAATCTTAGGAAAATTAGTTATTCTGGAAAACCAAATTTTCTAGTTAACTGACAGTTTACTTTCTTTAAACACAAAACATTTTTTTCATTTAAAAAGTATAGTTTTATTATAGTTCTCAATTTTTCTAAATATTATGTTCTATGAACTGTATTTTTCTTAACATGTTTTCCAGTTTTCTGATGCATAATTTAACCTTTGCTTGACCATTCAATGTCAACAACACTAACAACCATTTTACTTTATTGCACTCTTACTATATCACAGTGATGCCTTTAAGAATTATTATAAAGTAGATTGTTATATTTTTAAAAATATTTGAAGCTGTTTTATAAATTTGTAAAGTTCATTCTTCCTTTGTGGCCAGGTTGTTTGTATACTTCTCTACATACTCCTTCTATCTTTGTAATAAGCTACCATTAAAATGCTAAGGGTTGGAAAACCAGATACATAATCAAGCTAGTCAAAACTGGATCTAAAATAACTGGATTCTAAATAAGGGTCTGGAGTGACATATCAGTAAAATATGTCCTTAGAATCTAGAGTTCAAAAGGCCCTTTGAGATTATCTAGTTAAAAGAATCCCCTTCACAGATTATCAAAACTTTATATTTATAAAAAATATGATACATATAAAAATTCAAGCAATTTGATTGAATATAAAGACAGCAACAAATCACCTAAAATGCCACCACTCAGAATAAGTTTCAGTGTTGACATTTAAGGACTTTCATTCCAGTTAAATCTCTATATGTGTGTAGAGTTGGAAATATGAATTGGGGCAATAACTGAAAGAGATCTTACAATCTTTGTTCTCCAAGGTATAGAGTTCTACAGTGAGGTGGGGGCTCAGAGATAGGTAGGGAATGTTGAGATTTGGCTCTATATCTCTGCTTTAATCAGAGCAACTCTACCTTATTTGAGTCAAAATTCATATAATATTACATTTAGAGGGATGCTCCTGCTAAAAATTAGTTAAAAACTAGGAATGTAGTTAAGTAAGTCAGAGAAAAGACCAATACCATGATTTCACTTATATGTGCAATCTAAAAAATAAAGCAAATGAACACACAAACAAACAAAAAACCAGAAGGGTGGGGGAATGGGAAAAATAGGTGAAGGGGATAAAGAGGTACAAACTTTTGATTATGAAACAAATCACAGGAATGTTAAATACAGTATAGGGAATATAGTCAATAATAGTGTAGTAACTTTGTATGGTGACAGATACTAACTACATTTATGGAGAGCATTTCATAAGTATATAATTGTCAAATCACTATGTTGTATACCTGAAACTAATATTGTATGTGAACTATATCATCAATAAAAATAAGTAACTAAAAAAACTAAGAATGTAGTTCACAACCTTCACTTTACAGATGGAATAAAATAAGATCCAGAATATTACTGATGTGCCTGAAGGCACAGCTAATTGGATATCAAACCAGAAACATGAAATTAGGCTTCTAACCTCACAGTTTTCCACCACACATGAGTTTTAAACTCAGAGGTTTGTCTGTTTGTATTGATGTTTTGTTATTTTTTTCTTAGTTTCTCATTCTAGCTTGACAAACATGTAGAATCCGCATAAGTGAGATGCCACAGTTAGAGGCTATTAGGTAGGGGGAGAAAAAGGAAATGAGAAAAACGAAAACTCCGTTGACAAGGATTTTGCTACTGTTCTCATTTCAATCTTAAATTACATTCATATTAACACCTTTCTAAAACACCTGTAGAAGTCCTACTGACCTGTGATGATTTCTCCAATCTTCTCCTCGGCAAGCAGTACTTCATTCCTTTGTAAAAGCATGTCAATGTGGAACAGTAAAGCTCTTCCAATACTTTCTGATGACTTAAAATGTTCACAGATACGCTCCAGGAAATAAAACCCAGCAGTTTCTCTGTTCAATGAAACAAAATTTTAAGCATGTAAATGGAATAACATTATTTTATCAATAGGACTAAAGTTTATTTGAGTATGAGCAAAACAGGCAAGATTAAACTGTATCTGAGCTTAGATAATATCATTAAATGTCTAAATAAGCCTAATGGTTAACAATAAATCATTTAATTCCATTTCTATTTAGTTTATTAAGGCACAAAGATTTTCTTTTCATAGCAGTTATAATCAGATACCATCTCCTTCTTAATATATAATTTATGTTTTTTCTTTCAGAACTGATGCCAATTTATAAAAATTGGAACATGATATTTAGTGAAGATACATGAACTGATTTTAAAAATTTACCAGTCCCTTGTCATGAGAAGTTCTACAATCTACTCTCTTAGCAATGTTCAAATATGCCATGTAGCAGTGTTAACTATACTCATCATGTTGTACAGTGCATGCCCAGTATTTATCTTATAACTGGAAGTTTGTACCTTTGACACCTTACATCATTATGCATTATACTTTAAAACTTACACAGTGCTGAATGCAAATTATATCTCAATAAAACTGAAAGAAAAATGTACTAGTTCTCTCGGCCAACAACTCCTTTTCAAAATTTATTTTCTGTGCTTGATTACACAAATAATATTCCAGTATATTATGATTACTTAGAAATGCAAAAAGCTTATGGATTGGAAAACTTGATATTGCTAAGATATCAAGATTCCCTAAATTATCTAAAAATTTAATGCAATTCCTATGAAAATCTCAATGACATTTTTTGCAGAAATTGAAAACTCCATCCTAAAATTCATATGGAATCTCGAGGGACTATAAAAAGTAAAAATAATCCTGAAACAGAAGGACTAACCTAGAGGATTCACACTGATTTCAAATTTTACTACAAAGTTATAGTACCAGGATAATGTGGTACTGACATAAAGCAGACACATACACCAATGGAACAGAATAGAGAGTCCAGAAATAAATTCTTGCACATGTGGCCAAATGATTTTCAATATGGGTACCAAGACCATTCTATGGGGAAAAAAGGAGTCTTTTCAACAAATGATGCTAGGATAACTGGATATCCACACCCAAAAGAATGAAATTGGACCTTTACCTTATACACATACAAAAATGAACTCAAAATGGATATGGATCAAAGATCTACATGGAAGAGCTGAAATATAAACCTGTTAGAAAAAAATATAGTGGTAAATCTTCCCATTGGTTTTGGCAATGGCTTCTTGGAGATGTCACCAAAGCTCCAGATAACAAAAATAAAAATAGATAAACTAGACTACATTAAAATTTAAAATTTTTGTGTATCAAAGGCTACAACCAACAGAGTGAAAAGGCAACCTACGGAATGGGGGAAATATTTGCAAATCTTATGTCTGATGCAAAGTTAACATACAGAATATATGGAGAATGCCTAAAATGAAGTAACAACAACAACAAAAAACTTGATTGGAAAATTGGCAAAAGACATAAATAGATATTCTCCAAAGAAGTTACACAAATGGCAACAATCACATGGGATGATACACAACATCGCTAATCATTAGGGATATGCAAATCAAAACTAGAATGAGATACCACCTCATACCAATTAGGATGGCTACTGGCAAAGAACCAAAAAATAACAACTGCTGACAAGGATGTGGAAAAATTGGAAAACTTGTACACTGTTGGTGGGAATGTAAATTGGTGCAGTCACTATGAAAAACAGTAGAGCAGTTACTTTTAAAAATTTTAAATAGAATGTCCATATGATTTAGTAATTCTACTTCTGGTTATAAACAAAAGATAATTGAAAGCAGCGTGTCAAATATTTGTAAACCCATGTTCAAAGCAACATTGTTCCCAATATCGAAAAGGTAGAAATCTCCACTGATGGATTAATAGATAAATGAAATGTAGTATATACTAACAATGGAATACTATCCTACCTTTGAAAGGGAGGAAATTCTAAAACAAGCTACAACATGTAAGATTAGCATGCATGGGGGGGGTAGGGAGAAAGGGGAGGGTGGGCTGCACAACACAGAGAGGACAAGTAGGGATTCTACAACATTTTGCTAAGCTGATGGACAGTAACCGTAATGTGGTTGTTAGGGGGGACCTGATATAGGGGAGAGCATAGTAAACATAGTACTCTTCATGTAAGTGTAGATTAAAGATTAAAAAAAAAAAGAAAGAAAGAAAGAAAGAAAGAAAGAAAAGGGGGATTACTCCTTGATAGGATAAAACTATTGGTAAATCAAAGATCAATGCATGCTTTAAATATCCTTAATGTTGATCACTTAAAGGGTGTCAGATGATCAGCTATGGAGGTACTCTTTTCTGATAATATTCCTTTCTCTTAATAAAAAAAAAAAGCAGTCCCTGTGTGCTGACCTCCAATGAGTTCTGCACAGTGGTATAGAGGGCATGTCAAAGTGTGGGCAAAGGGTCTGTTTGTTTCTATGCAGAAGATCAAGGCCTAGCTTGGATACCCAGAAAATGAACTAAGATACGATATGAGGAGGAGCTTCCGGCATCAGCACTCTCTGGAGGACTCGTGCCGGGGGATGATCATCAAAAAGCCTCCACAGGGATCCGGACGATGCTGCGGTTGTGGCTGCATCCAGCCCACCGTCTCCTGGACTTGCCATAAGAATGAGGAGGGAGATGTCTAGGCTGGCATGTGCATACAGTGAGACAACGAATTTGACTGGATCTGTACTGTTGGAACTCAACCAGGAGTTGGGAGGGGTGCAAGTTGTAGCACCCCAAAATCTCATGACTATAGACTATCTATGGTTAAAAGAACATATGGGATGTGAACAGATCCCAGAAATGGGCTGCTTTAATTTGTCTGATGGTTCAAGTACAGTTGGAAAATATCCATCATATCATAGATAAATTTTCACAAATGCCTAGGGTGCCTAAATGGTTTTCTTGGCTTCACTGGAGATGGCTGGTAATTATAGATTTGCTTTGTTTATGTCACCGTATTCCTATTATGTTAATATGTGTGTGCAAATTAGTTAGTAGTTTAAAACCTATACATACTTAAGGTACTATACAAGAAGATATGTCAAAGAAATAATCAATCCTCCCAAGTTTCCTTCATATGCTACATCTATAGCTTTTCTTCTTCCTTCCTAATTACAACCCTTAAATAGAATTCGTGCCTCATATCGAATTTACCGAGTATCATAATTCCTCCAGGTGGTAAAGATACCTCGAGACAAGTGCTGGGCATAGAAGCCACAGGGCATAAATCTGCAAAGAAGTAAAAAGCTAACCTTTGCAAACAATATGGCTTCTCTCTCACTTACCAACTTTACATTTCCCTGTATGGCCCCGGAAGATGACTGGTTAGCCAGAGACGGGTAAGATTCCTCAAGGGAGGAACAACCTAAGACAGGCACAGTCGCAGGGGGGCCATCAGGTGAGAATTTGGGGATCAACAGAGGTGAGGCTCAGAACCTCACCCCCCCTGCTTTGAGAGAAATCTTCTGCATCCGTGGATGTCTTGCTGCCCTTGTCTAGCCTGGATTAATACTTAGTCCATAGGCACACACCTGATCATCTGATCATCTACATTTGCCTTCTTACAGCACTAAACTATGTTTTCTACCTTTATCTTGCATCTACCTACCACTTCAGCATTTTATTAAAAATAAAAATAATAATAATAATAGGAGAAATGTGGGATCAACATATAAATCAAGTACAAAAATCAAACGAATATTCATATTTGACCTGATTGTTTATAGGTCATAATGCATGATCAAAACCGAAAGTTTCTGTGATGAATGCCCTTGTACTGTTCACCATGTAAGAATTTATTCACTATGTAAGAATTCGTTCACCATGTAAGAACTTGTTCGTTATGCTTCAGAAGATTGGAGACTGACGAGAATTAGGCTTGAGATGGATTAATGATTGTACATTGAGCATTGACCCCCCTATACAGAATTTTATTGTTGTTAACAACCATTTGATCAATAAATATGAGAGATGCCCTCTCAAAAAAAAAAAAAAAAACAAGCTACAACATGGATGAACCCTAAGGACATTATGCTAAGTGAAATATGCTAGTTAGAAAAGACAAATTCTGTATGATTCCACTAATATGAGGTATCTAGAGTAATTCAAGTCATAGAGACAGAATGTAGAATGCTATATGCCAGGGGCTGGAAGAAGGGGAGAATAGGGAGTAGTTGCTTAATGGGTGCTGGAAAAAAGTGTGTGCATATAAAATTTTAAATTCCCACCAGCAACACCTGATATAATGAAACTTCCCTTTTTGCCAATTTGATGATCAATTAACCATATTGAATCAGCAAGCAGCCTTGGCCAAAGTTCCATTTAATTTTAGACATTTACCACTTTTTTCCTCCTAATATTTTCTTTTATTCCTAAAAAAAGAGGTAAAAGGAAAAATAATCTCTACCCAAATATTAGAATGAAACTATATAGATATAAAATCATTTAACACAGATTTATTATACAGAAATATACATGAAAGGAAAACACAACTCTCTGAAATGGCCTTTCCTGTCATTGATTCTGGAAGGAATAAAATGATGCATGATCAAAACTGTAAGTTTCTGTGATATGACTGCCCTTGCACTGTTCACCATGTAAGAACTTATTCACTATGTAAGAACTTGTTCACCATGTAAGAACTTGTTCATTATGCTTCAGAAGATTGGAGACTGTTGAGAATTAGGCTTGGGGTTGATTAATGATTGTGCATTGAGACACCTATACAGAATTTTATTGTTGTTAACAACCATTTGATCAATAAATGAGATGCCCTCTCAAAAAAAAAAAAAGATAACAATTCTTGGCCCATGAAAAGCCCAAATTTTTCTATACAGATGTGGAATAATTAGTGGCTTAATATAAGGTACGTCTCTTAGAAAGAAGATAATGTTTTCTCTGCTTTCAGGAAACATCATACCAGCATAAGGAGTGTTAGTAATCAAAGGTTATAGATAATAACTGAGT